CCAAAGAACAAATTTTGTACTTGCTTATTCTAGTGGTCTGAATGTATGTGGGTGCATGCACATGTCCTTCTGGGTATGCATACAACACAGAATCTTCAAAAGGAAGTGGAAATTTGCACGTGGAAAGGTGGGAATTAGTTCCTTTCCACAAAGACAAGGAAGGTGAGCAGCAGGTTAAAACATAGGTGGTGTACAATGCTAAATCATCCCTGGGTCACTTCTTGGCCAATTATCCCAAGGTTTTCAGTGCAGGCTGACATGATACGCACATTATCATGAAAGCCTCTTTCTATGAGAGTCAGCTGCAGCTTAGCAAACTGATAAATTTATGCTGCAAAGATCATAAAGATTTCTCCAGGGACTGGATCCTGCTGGCTTTTTTCAATTCATTCCATCCAATTATCCTCCTTACTATAGCCCCCCCTCCCACATGGCTTTTGTCCATGCATGTTCCATAATTTCCAGCATAGCCTTCTGGGGTAGTCACAGGGTACCCCATTTCTTCCCTTTTCACCAGCAGAAAAGCTGGTTAGATCCCAGGGCTTCTGCCATTCTGCCCAAACACTGAGCACTGATTTGGAAACAACACATGTCTTCATACTTTTTTTTTTTCCAGAGGGGGAGGGTTAGCATTATTTTCTACAATATGATTCCTCTTAAGAAGGGGCATAGCCTAAAACACATTGGAATTCCCTTCTCATCAAAATTCCATGTATACTTTCTGGAATTTGTTGGTTGACATTGTTAAAAAAAATAGGGCATGGAAACAGCACAGTAACAGTGTAGTGCAGTTCAAAGCAGAGTTACACCCTTCTGAGGCCATTGACTTCAATGAATTTTAGAAGGATATAACTCTGCTTAAGAGTAGCACTGCAAGGGACAGAATGATGTGTGTAAGATGTACAAATGTTCTATATCATAGGCTGCATATGCACATTTTTGGAAATTGCAAGTGGATTTCTAATGTAGTTTTGGACAAATGCTATAGTTCAAGGACAGTCCAAAATCCAACCATGTGTGTAGATGCAGTGTTAGATCTTTAAAAGGGGAGTGGACAAATCTCTAGAGGGGAGGTCCAAGAAAAGCCACAGTCCAGGGCTCTTGGCAGAACCATAGCCAGCAGTGGGGCTTTAGGGGTTCATCCCCCTACCAAATAGGGGGGAGCCCCAGTGCCAGCCAGCCAGCCCCCAGCGAGCCCCAGTGCCAGCCAGTGACTTGGCTCTCTGAGAGCTAGCTTGCTGGTTCAGCTGCCTGGCACAGACACAGCGAGGCACAGAAGCAGGCCATTCTAATTTGGAGATTTGGCTCTCCGAGATCCAACTCGCTGGCTACCTGCTTAGAAAGCCAAGGAGACAGTCAAGCGGTAGGGCAGCGAGCACTGCTTGCTGCCCTGCCGCCTGGCTGCCTCCTCTTCAGCTCTCCTCAGAGGAGGGTCAGACATGGTGACATCATTAGTGATGTCACCACGTCTGAGGGCACGATGCCCCCTCCCAATCCCAAAGCCCCCTGCCGGGAAATTTCCTGGCTACAAGCCTGGCTCTTGGCTTCACACCCTGCTCGTGGGGTTCTCAGAAGCATTCGATTGATCACTGCTGGAAACAGGATGGTGGACCAGATGACCGACTTCTAAAGTTCATGATGGTTCAGGACTCCTTGGCCCACCTTCACTCAACTCACATTTCAGTCTGAATTGGCCAAGGGAAGATGAATAATTACTTAGTTTTTGGCATACTGGATTGATCTTATGAGAGCTTCAGTGCCTCTACCCTTTGCAAGTCCTGCTCAGCTTGGGAAACCTTCCCAGAAAGTGTAACAAAACGGGGAGATTTTGAAGTATTCACAAGACTGGCTTGCTAGGTGAAATCAATGCACAAAATTCATTACAGCATGTTAAAAAAAGGCAGCTGTGTGAATTATCGCATGGTCTTGACATTAAAAGAATTTATACACAGAAGCCACAACCTAGAGTTAATCTCATTTAAACCTGTTGAAAAATGTGGGCCTTGGGGCTCTTAATGCTATGTTAGAGTGTGGAACCTTAATAAAAAAGCATTGATGGGTAATCATATACAACAATTCTGTCCATTCCCTTGGCAACTAATACAGCTAAATTTCAGGATGCAGGAAATGCAATTAAAATTGTAATTGTTTTAATTGCATCTGTATCATCTGCTAGCTCAGAACGATGATAACAGCTACCATGGTTGAGGGATTCTTTGCTTGGAGTGTGCGCAGAATGGTTTCTCATTACAGTTGCCACCAAATTTCCCTTGAATCTAAATCAGCTGGTAGCCACATTTTAAATAACATGGCTGGAAGATACCACAATAAATATAAAAGAAAACAAAGCTTTTTTGTTTCTTTTTCTTTTTGTGTAGGTCTCGCTTGCTTCTTGACTAAAACTAAATGGCTGTTTCTTTCTAAAGACCTCAACTGCAGTCCCCATGGCTGTGAAATTCCTACTGATTAATTTTGGCTACAAATTGTGGCCTAATATGGCACTGAGAGTTCACATGAGGAGGAGTATAAAGACGGATTATGGAATTATGCTTCAATTGTGTACACAAATCTGATTTAGTGGTTCTACCACCTTGATGAAAAATGCTTCCCCCCCCCTTTGGCATTTTTTCCCCACCCTAGCCTAAGTGGTTCAGATCTGTAGCTTTGTTAATTCACAATCAAGCTAACTCCTAGTAGGCACTAAATCATCATTTATCACCAGAGCCTAAATTTCATAACTACGGAGAAGACGACATTTATACATAGAATACTATACGGGAAAATTAGTAAAAATAAAATAAAATAAGATGAATACTTAAAAACGCCATACCATGTTAACCCAAACTCATGCATTCTTGGAACTTCCAGGATAATGTTAGTAACAGTTTCTTTTCCTTGAAAAATGCTGCTAAGTGTTAATGGTTTTATTAAAACACTTAGGAATGGTTAATTTCTTTCACCGACGTAAGATGCTAGAATTACATTTAATGCTAGGCATAGAATTACATCTAACTACATAGGCATGAATGCACTGTGCCAACAAGAGGAAGGGCTAGGTGTTGGAGTCTATAGTCCTTTCCCTTACAGTGTAATCCTCAACATGGTGCCAAGCTACATATTATATTTTACATGAGTTCACCTTGGGGACTTGCAACCGTATTGCAGTCATGAGTCCCTGGTGGCAATGCCATGTAAACGTGTTTCAGGGGCCCCATTCAGACTGGGACCATGGCCCCAAGGGAAGAGGGGCTGCTGCCCCCTTGTGATGTATTCTGGAACTGAAACAGCCCAGGAGGGCATTTGCCCCATTGAGGGGCTCCACATGCACTGAATGCTTGCATGTGCAGCCCTCCGCCAATGGAGGAGGGAGGCTGTTTTGGCTCAGGAAAGTGGTGTGTGTTTGTGTGTGTGTGTGTGTGTGTGGTGGGGGAATGCAGGAGCCCCTCCTCCCTCACACTGTAGTTCCAAATCAGGCCTCTTGTGGTGCTTTTACACGGAGTTGCCATTGGGCAACTCGCAGCTCCAATACTGCTACCAACCCCTGCTAGGAACCTATGTAAAAAATAACATGTAGTTTGGCCTAGTTATACTCTTAAACACACTGACTTCAAGGGACTTACAAGGGTGTAACTCTGTTTAGGATTACACTGTTAGCCTACAGCACAGCCATTATTGGATCAATATGAAGGGGTTTAGATGTGGTATACTGGCACAATTTTGGTGCACAGGTGTAAGACCAACAAACTCACATTTCTCCCAATGAGTTGAACAGCATTCATTACCACTATTTTAAATCAAGCATTTTGTTTTCAAATAACCAAAACAAAAAGATATTCTTTACTTCTTTGTGGTCAAAGAGCTTTTAGGACCAGAGAAAAAGCTACCCTGGAGATTTTCCTATATAAGGCAATAAAAGTTTGAGGGATCAACTTATCTGTTGGCACCACCAGTGAATTAATTTTCAGTTAGACAAGTGGTCTTGATCATTACTGTATGTACACCTGTACCAATTAACATTTGTCAGTCTCTTCTGGCCTTTCTCCTTTTATGCCAACCAATATAGTATCTTGAATTTATAACTGAGGTATTCTACTTGCTTAAGAAATTAAGATTTTTAAAACTAGAAGACAAAATATAATTTGGAAATGAGACAGATAGGAAACCTGGCTTTGAGGTTCAGGCGAAAACAGAACATTTCAGTAGAAAATTCTCATTTTCCTGACACCTCTAGGAGTGGCAAAAAGTCCCCATACAAGGAAGTATAGGGTTATATGCAGTTCTGAGCATGTATCTTGTTGCATGCACAGACCTGTCACTGATGCTTCGGCTGAGTCACACAGTCCCCCACAGAGTACTGCCATTTTTTGTGGTACAGAAAGCAGGTGTGGGGATACGAGGCATTAGGTGAGCCAGATACACCTTTTTGCATGGAAACCCACTTCATATTTCCCCTGTTCATGAGGGGGAAAAACATGCTCAGGTGGAGGCACGGAGTTCCTGGCTCACACAATGTCTAATATGTAGCCTGCTCCCAGCACACTGAAACAAATGGGGATATCCTGGGCTCTCATTCATTGGAAACCCCTCCTTTTATAATGATTTCACTTTACTAGCCAATGGGTCAGCTGCATTGGGGTGGGGGGTGGGGGAAAAGAGCCCTGCTAAAACTGGTTTGAAAATTTGCCTTTGAAGCTGCATGAGAAGAGCTTCTTGTTCTTGAAATGACCAAGTACGTTAATAAGGCTTTAGAGAGGGATTCTGACGGGCAAACATGGTGCCACGTGATGGAATGTCAATACCGTACTGGGTGGGAATGGCACTTGAGTTCAAAACATCAATGACCAACAGCTTATAGCTCAGCTGACTGCAGACAAATAAACAACACACACTGTACTAGAGCATTTGTTCACTGGTACACAAAATGGATTTTGCAGTCGTCTTCCCTTCTTCTGCTCGATCCATTTTTTTTTCTTCCTGGCTTTCATTCCCACCCGTCGTAGCTATTGCTGGATGAATGGTATACGCTCTTTATTCTCATTGTCCCCTTCGTGGTCTTCTTCTTCTTCACCTGCTTCACTGGTTTCTGTGCTGTCGTTGGCCATCTGCGTTGGAGAGACAGCAAACCGAGAGGCACAGTCAATAAGAGCAAACAGAAGGCCTTCATTTATAGCGGTCTTAGACAATTAAAGAAATCTCAGTCGCTTGAGTTCCAAATGTGAAACTGCATTGTTTCTGAGGATCAATTACGATTCTACTGCTGTTTATGTGGATTTGGATGTGGGCTGCTACTTTACCCTCCCCACCCTCTACCTATATGTAATGGCTGGTGATTTCTGTTTCAATGTATCTGAAGAAGTGTGCATGGACACGAAAGCTTATACCCAGAATAAAACTTTTGTTGGTCTTAAAGGTGGCACTGGACTCGAACCTTGTTCTCCTGCTTCAGACCAACACAGCTACCCAACTGAATTATATTATACTGTGATTAATCTAGAGTGCTTTCTAGGTCAATCAAAAGTTTTAGAAGTGATTAATCAAACTAATTAAGCCACTACAGTTTGCAGCCCTAACTGTCTGTGATATGTAGTCTCAGCTTGTTTTCAAGGTACCTAAAGAAAGGGACTTAATTTGCCTTTTCCTTAATACAGCACTTTGAACCTCTATGGTATATGTAGTACCATTTTAAAGACACTCGAAAGCACAACCTTAGAGCTACTACTGCCCAGATAGTGTATACATTCTGCACAGATCTGCATACTTTTTGAACACTACAAAAAAAATAAATAAAGTGTGGCCAGAGAGCATTAGAGGACCAAAACAGGAGCATGTGTGCCAAAGGCAAAGATGACGGCACCAACCCCCCCTCCCAAAAAACTATCACCCCCACCTAGATTTAGTTGGGAAAATGCCTTAGTAACTGTGGCTTTTCTTACAGTCTCCATGAGATGTGGGTCATGATTACGTCCACATTACAAATCAATAGTGATTCTGGGCACAGCCACTTTAAAATACCATGGAATAATTCCTAATGTACGTCTGATTCTCAATACCTCTCCAGTTAAAAACTGGAACTGCGGATTATGCAGCGTATCTGTGAATAGCGTAGCTCCTAAAATGCAAGTGTAAAAGCAGTGGGGGATGAATTATTTACCATACAAGTGTTATGTAGAACAGCTGCGCTGTGGCGCCTGACGTCTGTGCTGGCAATGACGCTACGGGAAACAGTTGTACGAAGCTTTGTTTGACTGTCTTCCCATCCCAAAATGTTTTAGCTGATGGAAAAGGCATTTCTGCATATGAACATCCAGGGCAGTAACTAGAGTGCACTTTTGAAGATGGGATGGTGCAGGCCCAACATCCCACATCACTTCTGAAAGGACATTAGTACAAGGCCATCCTAAGCAGAGTTCAGCCCTTCTACGACCATTGGTTTCAATGGGCGTAAAAAGGTGTAACTCTGCTTAGGTTGTACTGCTAAGCAGTTCACTGACCACAGGCTTTCTGCATGCACATCTGGCCTCTCCTGCCTCTGAAATGTTGGCTGTGGGGACAAGCTCGTACTCCTAAGGGGGGGGGGCTATATTCAGCCCTTGAGCAAGCAGTTGCAAAATCTGACGTTTGCCATAAGGAAACTCAGGTTGCCGTTGTCATTTATATAGCATAATCACTGTACATTAGGGCAAAGGGAGCTCTCTACCCCAAAGAGGCAGTGTGGTATAGCGGTCAGAGTGTGCGACTGGGATCTGGGGGGCCCTGTCTTGAATCCCCACTTTGCCACAGTACTTGCTGGGTGATGCTGGCCACACTCTCAGCCTAACCTACCTCACAGGCAGGGCTATTTTTGGGCAGGAACGCACAGGAATGGAGTTCCGGCTGGCTCCTGAGCTGGCCACGCCCAGCAGGAACTCATTAGCATAATAGGCCACACCCAACAGCAGAAACTCATTAGGATTGGTTACATTAGGGGTGTGTGGCCTGACATGCAAAGGAGTTCCTGCTACAAAAAAAGCCCTGGGTTTTGACCACAAACAAGGTAAACAGAATAAGAAGCAAAAGGTGGGTGTGGCTGGATGACCACACTTTGGTAACATGGGGGTGTGGCCTAATGTGCTAATGAGCTGTGCTGTCAGGGGTGTGGCCTAATATGCTAATGAGTTTCTGCTGTTGGGTGTGGCCTATTATGCTAATGAGTTCCTGCTGGGCTTTTTCTACAAAAAGAGCCCTGCACAGGGTTGTTGTGTAGATAAACAAAGGAAAGGAGAACAGTGTAAGTCACTTTGGGTCCCCACTGGGGAGAAAAGGCCAGTTATAAATGCAGCTGATAAATAAAAAAATCATAGATAAAGTCTTGCCACTTCGCCACGACCTCCCCGCCACAGTTGAAACAGTGAGTGAACTCAAGGCTCCGTGCACGTCTTCTTGTCCGATTTTGGATTATTTTAGTCCACTCAGTCTAGAGAAAGTCGACAGACTGCTCTCGACAGTATGCCCAACCAGATGCAGCCTTGACCCGTGCCCTTCATGGCTTATTAAAGCTGGCTGTGAGGGGTTTCACGGTGCCCTCAGGGATATTATTAACAAGTCCCTCTCAGAGGGGCTGATCCTGGGGGCTCTCAAGGAAGCAACGGTCCGCCTTCTCCCCAAAAAACCATCTCTGGACCCGGCCGAATTGGCAAACTATCGGCCGGTTTCCAATTTGCCCTATTTGGGCAAATTAATTGAGAGGGCGGTGGCGATACAGTTGCAGAGTTTTCTGGATGACACTTCCACGCTAGATCCCTTCCAGTCCGGCTTCCGCCCCAGCCATGGGACGGAGACGGCACTGGTCGCCCTCACAGACGACCTCCGGAGGTATCTGGATGGGGGCGGGACAGTGGTGCTGTTGTTGTTGGACCTGTTGGTGGCATTCGACATGGTCGCCCACTGCCTCACCGACATGGGGATTCAGGGGCTTGCCTTGTAATGGCTGATCTCCTTTCTCCAAGGTCGGGGACAAAGGGTGGCTATCGGGGAGCAGCTGTCCTGGAGGCACCCACTGATCTGCGGAGTGCCTCAAGGGGATGTGCTTTCCCTGATGTTATTCAACATTTATATGCACCCCCTGGCCCAGATTGCCTGGAGGCACGGGCTTGGGTGTCACCAATATGCAGATGACACCCAGCTGTATCTGTTGTTGGGCGGTCAGTCCGACTCTACCCCGGAAGACCTGGACCGGGCGTTACAGGACTTGGCTGGATGGCTTAGACTGTGTTGATTGAAATTGAATCCGATGAAGACGGAGGTCCTGTACCTGAGTCAGAGCAGATCATGGTTAGGGATTCCACTACTGGCCTTCAATGGGGCACCATTGGTGCCTGCGCCGAAGGTGAGGAGTCTGGGAGTGCTCCTGGATGCCTCCTTAACAATGGAGGCCCAGGTAGCAGCCACTGCCAAAGTGGCCTTTTACCACCTATGGCTGATTAGGCAGTTGGTTCCCTTCCTTGAACGCAATGATCTGGCAACAGTGATCCACGCAATGGTCACCTCGAGGTTGGACTACTGCAATGCTCTCTACACGGGGCTGCCCTTGGTGCAACTCTGGAAGCTGCAGCTGGTGCAAAATGTGGCAGCCAGGCTGTTGATGGGCCTCTCTATGCGAGAGCACATCCAGCCTGCGCTGAAGGCATTGCACTGGCTGCCAATAGCATACTGGATTCGCTTCAACGTGCTGTTTTTGACCTTTAAAGCCCTTTACAGTCAGGGATCTGCCTACCTGAAGGACTGCCTTTCCCCACACGTTCCCCAGAGAGCACTACGGTCAGGGTCGCAAAATCATTTGGCCCCCCTGGTCCTAAGGATGCCAGGCTGGTATCGACCAAGACCAGGGCCTTTTCTTTGGTAGCTCCAACTTACTGGAATGAGCTCCCAGATGAGATCAGGGCCCTGCGGGACCTTGCACAGTTCTGCAGGGCCACGAAAATGGAGCTCTTTCACCAGGCATTTAGTTAGGAGCTGTGTTACTATCTATGCCTGGTGCCAATCTATCTGCAGCCTGAGCCTGCCGACAATGGATGGACTGATAAATCCACTTTACTGTAATGATACCGCCATCGTTTTGTTAATTGTTTTTTTAATAATTTGTGTATTTTTAATACTAATATTGTACTCTGTCTACCTATTGGTTCTTGTTGTGTGCCGCCCTGAGCCTGCCTTGGCAGGGAGAGCGGGGTAAAAAATCTGCTAAATAAATAAATAGAGAGCTGATGTTGAGGTTTTCGACAGAGGGAGGGAAAAGAAAGGAAAGAGGAAGCGGGCAAGGCAACAGTAATTGTAGAAGAAGATGTAGAAATGCACTTGCACCTGTACCTGTCCTTAGTCCACTTAAGGAGGGAGCCAAAGTGGAGCAGAGAGCAATCCCAAGCAGATCTACCCATAATCCTTTTCAGCCCTGGGCCCCGCCTGGTGGAACTCTCTGCCGGAGAACATCTGTGCCCTCTGGGATTTACTCCCTTCCTGCAGGGCTTGCAAGGCAGAGGTGTCCCGCCAGGCATTTGGCTGAGGACAGTGATGGTCTGGCACTCTCCCACTCCCACCTCCCCCCCCTTTCCTCCATATTTGCCCTCCATCCAGGGGGCAGGTGGATACTGAAATTATCCATCATCTCGGACACAGTATTGTTTTTCTGATGAATTGTTTTAATATATTTCAATGATGTTTTAATGTTCTTATATATTGTTTTTTGCCTTTGATGTAAGCCACCCTGAGCCCTGTTTCAGGGAAGGGTGGCCTAGCAAACTGAGTGAAATAAATAGATAAATAAATAATCCAACTCAGATCTATTCAGTAAATTTTGTTTCCAGGAAAGTGCTCTTAGGACTGCACTGGCCCTGCACTGGCTTCAGGGTCAGATTAATACTGGCGAGACTTGTGTTCAGATCAACATTCAGCCTTGAAGCTTATGGAGGGGGCTTTGGGCCAAAGGGTTGCCAGCTTCGGGTTGGGAAATACCTGGAGATTTTAGGGGTGGAGACTGGGGAGAGCGGAATTTGGAGAGGAGCAGGATTTTGGTGGCGTATAATGCCATAGACTCTACCTTCCATAAGCGGCCATTTTCTCCAAGGCACTGATCTTTGTTGCCTGGAGATCAGTTGTAATCCTGGGAGATCTCCAGCCACCACTGGAGGTTGGGAACCCTCATAGGCCAGTTGTGCTCTCTCTCTCTCTCTCTCTCTGTTTGTCTCCCCCCATCTCAGCCTAACTTAGCTCACAGATCTGAGAGCATCATATGGGGGAGGGGAGAATTTTATATGCTGGCCTAAACTCCTTGAATAAGGGTTTTAAAAAGTTTTTTTAAAAGAATGTAAACTTTTATAAAATGTGTAAGGGTTTCACAGAAAGTCTTCACAGAAATATTGCAGCCAATTGGTAGAACTGTTTCTTTTTAAAGGATAAAATCAAAATTAAAAACCAGATCTTAGAATTTGGTAGTTCCAGGCTTTAATTTCTGCCTCAAATTAGTCTTGGACACCCACCTCCTGTGTCAGTGCTCAAACTAAGCCTTGGCAAAAAATTAAATCCAAACATAAAAGAGAACGCCAAAGGGTTCTGCTTGAGATTCTCACTGAGAAGCCCTTTGCAATTTGCAGAAGCTGTCAGAGCAAACCATTGCCACTGATTTGAATGTGGCGGCTGCATGTCACAGCACCTCTGGTTTTGCCCATTGCCTCCAAAGACTACGGCCAGGAGAATTCTATAATTATCCAATTGAGAAGCATCCCAGGACAGTAAAATGTAGTTGTGCATTTTGGCATTCCAAAAAGGGTTGCAGAAAGTCTCTAGCAGGTGCCTGCCAAAATCAAATTGCTCTTTTTTGGTTGTGCAAAGACAGCAGAAGGCACAATATAACACTTCTGCAGATTGTCAGTGTGGAGAACTGAAGTCTGTTGAGCAAGACAATCCTGAAAATCTACTTAGATCAGTTTCACTGTGTTCCCTCTATCAGTCTAGGAATAAAGAACTGTATAATGCATTTTATTTACTTAATTTATAATTGTGTCCTAGGCTTCCCAAGTCCCCCCGGGAGGCGGGGAAACCCCAGCCCCAGGGGCCCGTTCCCCGCCGCCACGGGATCGGGCCCCAGGGGGAACTCCTCCCTGACGTGTGCGTCACCCGGAAGTGACACGACCACGCCGGGCAAGCTGGGGGCGGGGCCACGGCCATCCAAGGCGCAACTGATTTAAAAACTTGCTCAGGATGTAGCATTGTGCTTTCCCCTCTTTAAATTTTATTTTGTTTGTTGAAATTGTTTATTAAATTTATCTTTAAGTGTTTTTGCCAGCCACTTTGGGTGCTCATTGTGGAGAAACTGGGGATGATAAACTGTTTACATAAATAAAGTGACTTGGTTAGAAGGCTGTCCATATGTACATTCATGACTGAGCAGTGATTTGGGCCTTGATCTTCCCAATAGTCTATGGTATGGGTCCCCAATAAGGGGCTTATGGACACATGGCACCTGCCTACACTTTTCTGGAGTCCACCAAGTGCTTCTGGAATAGGGTTGCCAGACTCACCCCCCCCGGTTCCACAGCTGGCCGATGGGGGAAGCCCTGCCCCCAAGAGCGATCACCCAGCCCCCCCCCCATCTTCCCAACTGTGTTTAAAGATATCCTTTAAACGCCGCTGGGGAGATGCAGGGGCTGCATGCCTGCACTCCAAGCCCCAAATTCCTCCCACCCCAATCTCTCCCCAGCAGCATTAAACATTGTTGGGGAGAGGCAGCGACATCATCACGTTGGGGAATCCCCACCCCCTTCAGTAACGCCACTGAAGATCTGATTGGCTGTGCTGGTTAAAGCAGCATTGTTTTGGGGAGCAGCTGCTATGACACTGTTGGTTTTATTCTATCTCTCCTAGGGTTGCCAGCTCTAAGTTGGAAAATACCTGGAGACTTTGGGGGTGGGTCTGGGAGAGGGCAGGGTTTGGGGAAGGAAGGGACCTCAACATGGTACAGTGCCACAGAGTCCACCCTTCAAAGAGGCCATTTTCTCCAGGGGAGCTGATCTCTGTCAGCTCGAGATCAGTTGTAAAAGAGGGAGATCTCCAGGCACTACCTGGAGACTGGCAACCCTATTCTCTCCTCTTTCACAGTGTATTTTTTAAAATTACTCCTCTTGTACCCTGCATTTTGGATTTTTGTGTGTGAGTGTGGTTGGCTGTACGTAGGGTTGCCAACCCCCCGGTTTGCCAGGGGTCCCCCGTTTTGGGGGGGTTCTACCCCCAACACCCACAGCCACCCATCTCTCTCCCTTTAAGTGTGCGTGTTTCCTCCCAAGCCCAATCTCCGCAAGCTTGCAGGGAAATGTCAGCTTCATGCTCTTAAAAGGGAAATGCGGCTGCTCTTAAAGGGGAAACGCTGGCTCCTGCATTTAAAAGGGAAACGCTGGCTCCTTTAAGTGCAGGGAACTGCCATTTCTGGAGATCTGGCACACGGGTGGGTGGGGGAGGGTAGCGGACGTCCCCAACGTGACGTTATCACGTCAGGGATGCCCCGCCCCCTCCAGGAACGCCCCCAAAGTCCCCCGCTGGGGGTGGAAGATGGACTTGGCAACCCTAGCTGTACTTGCCATGGTGGCCAATTTGTGGTTTTGCCCACTACCCAGTGTCAGAATTCCAAAGATGCCCACAAGTTCAAAAAGGTTGGAGACCCCGAGTCTAAGGCCTTGGGAGCAGAACACATGTGACAAAGCACTATGACTGAATTCTGAAGTGGTAGATTGGTCTGTACTATTTTAAATGGCAGGTTGTAAAACACACATTATTAGTGCTTTCCCATGCAAAAACTCCTTGCACGTTAAAAAAATACCCTAGGGAGAAAGGCTGCAGTTTAACATTTCACATTCTGTACTGTTTCTATTTACAAGGAAAGATTAATGTTGGGGAATTTTGAACAATGTAATCCTTCCCCTGCAGTATGAAGTGGTACAGTCCATCCCACCAATTTAGCAGTCTACAGTAACTATCTACCGCACACACAGACTAGGTCTAAGTCCAAAGCACTGAGCACAAATAATTGCAAGAGGACTTCTGAATTAACATGGGGAGGACTGGCAATCCAGTAAATCTGAGTTTGATGAATGAAGCCATGTTTCAGTTGGCACTTTTGGAATTTATTTACAATGAACTCATTCTGTGTTGGCTTGACTGCTTTCGGAGATTGGAACCTAATTTCATTTTTGTGTTGATCTGGGAAATCTCAGATCCATTAAAGCTAGGGTTACCAGATCCAGGTTGGGAAATTCCTGGAGATTTGGGAGCAGAGCCTGGGAAGGTTGAGGCTTAAGGCGGACAGGGAACTCAGAAGAAGAAGAAGAAGAAGAGAAGAGATTGGATTTATACCCCGCCATTCACTTGGAGTCTCAGAGCGGCTTACAAACTCCTTTCCCTTCCCCTCCCCACAACAGACACCCTGTGAGGCAGGTGGGGCTGAGAGAGCTCTTGACAGAAACTTCTCTTTTTCAAGGACAGCTCTTATCAGAGCTACGGCTTGTCCAAGGCCATCCAGCCAGGTGCAAGTGGAGGAGCGGGGAATCAAACCCGGTTCTCCCAGATTAGAGTCCGTGCACTTAACCACTACACCAAACTGGCTGTATAATGCTATAGATTCACCCTCCAAAGCAGCCATTATCTCCAGGTATCTGACTAAGGAGATTTGACTCTTGAATGCTTATATTCTTAAAATCCTGTTGGTTTCTAAAATGGTCCTGAAATTATTTTCTCCAGGGGAACTGATCTCTCTCATCTGGAAACCAGCTGTAATTTTGGGAGATGTCCAGGTCCCACCTGGAAATTGGCATCCCCAATTGAAGTCCCAGATTTCTGCATATGGCTCTTTGGTAATCTGAAGGTGCCCTCTGCTCCCGTGCTACTCACCAATGGAGTTGGTGTCTTCTCCACATCCAGAATTAATTTACCTATATTGCCTCTGTCATGGATTCTTTGCATTGCTTCTTTCACCTGTAAGATAATATATATGTATGTTGAATTTTCACTGTAATGCAAAAATTGCAATTCACCTTTGCATAGAAGAATGTTTTCTGCAGAGATATTCAAGAACTGAGGTTGTAACAAAATGGGAAAATGCTGATGAATTGACGGCTAAAAGCCAGCTGAGAATGATATGGGCTATATTAAAATTGGAACTTCCTATCGGTTTCCAGCATATAAAAATACATTTTATAAAGTGAATGGACTTGGTTTATAAAACCATTGCAATTTGCAATAAAAAGCACTGCAGACAAATTATGAATGTCTTTATCTTGACTTGGCTGACATTTCTGCACTTTTTATAGGCACGAAGAAGTACAATATAAAAGGCGAACAAGAAATATGAAAAGTGAAAATGACACAGCAGCAAAAGTATGTTCATTGTTCAAAATGATGACCAAGTCCAACATGCTGCTTTCAAACAGGGTATAAACTCTGACAGGGGAGGAACCAGGGAAGATCCTGCTAGTTACCAGCCACTGAATAACATCTTGGTGAGTTCTCTCTCCTCTCTGCACACAACTATTTAAGGCCTGGGTTTGCCCAGAGGCACAAGCCAAGCCAAAGGGCTCTCATCCATCAGCTCTTAACCTAAGAGTTGGAGCCTAGAGCTGGGCAGAAGATCAGCTAACACAGAGATGTCGAACTCATTTGTTATGAGGGCTGGATCTGACATAAACATCACTTTGTTGGCCAGGCCATGTGTGTCATAAAACATAATGCTAGGTGCCAGAAATATAAACTGTATAAAAGATAGCAGCTGGTAAGCTCCGAGTTGCTGTATCCTCACAGCAAGGACCCATGGGCTGGGAGGGGGGGGTGCAAACCCATATGGGCGGACTGGAGAGCCAATGGTGCACCACTGGGCAGATGCTCCCATGTTGCTTGACTGCTACAGATGAGAATGTTCTGCTGTGGTGAAGTCACTATAGGAGTGGCTCTGCCCACTCCCCTGAGCAGTCTCCTGTTCCCTTCCTTGCACTAGTTGCAGGCTGCATAAGAGCCCTGACCGGGCAGGTTCCGGCCCTCGGCCCTTAAGTTTGACACCCCTGAGCTAACGGAAAGAAAGAAAAAAGACCTGGCAATTGGAAGCCTCACCCCCTGTCTTGTTTGTTTGGTTGCATTTTTCTCTCTGCATTGTTAGCTAGTTACAGAACACCATTTCTGTAGCATACCTAAAATGTCTTAGGTTTGCAGGATACATGAAGACATTAATTTAGGATCAAATTATGTATTGTGGTGGGGAACTGTGATCAGATCTCCTGGGGTGCCCTTTAACCTTAAAAAAATCTCCCGCCACCACTGATTTTACTATGTTCCAGACCCAGGCACCCCCATGGAAAAGGAGTGAGAATCACCACGGCCCCTGTAACTCTGCAAAGGCGTTGTGCAGCTACATCCTGGAGCTGTCCCCCACAGCCTAGGAACGATGCAACAGCCATTTACACCAGAAGAATAAAGAAGGTAGAGAGCTCAAGCAGAAGACCTTAGTGGAAAACAGAGTACTCGCTTGGCAGGACAAGGATCCCTTCCCATTTCCCTACTCATGAGGAAGGATCCTTGATGTAAGTAGAACCAGGATCAGCTCCCCTAATATGCTATGAAAAGATGGAGCTTCAGAGCCAACCGGGGGCAGAGTGGCCATTTAAGTTACAGGGAAAGTGCCCAATGGACCACTTCCCTAGAGGACCACTGGTAGTCAGGAGCAAGCAGAGCCAAGCCCCAGGCAGCACCTCAGAGGCTGCTTGGATTAGACCTTTCACCAGCAATTGTAATTGGTATTGGTCTATCAATTACGTTTTTCCTGCTGTCCGTTTTCAGGAGAAAGCAGTAATTCTTACAACCAGATGCACACTATTGTCCATTTTTTGAGTCACTGAGCTGAGCGACCTCCTGCAGTGCTAGCCTGCAGTGCCACAGGGCCTCTCCCCGCTTGGCTTGCTCCAGGGCCATTTCTACTTCCCAATCCACTCCTGGAGCCAGTTTATGAATCCCTAGATCCTACCACTGAATCATGTCTCCGAGAGAACTCTTCTTGGGTTGCCCTGACCCTAGCTATCTCACTGGAGGGCTCCTCTGCTGCTTCATCGACCTCACCATGAATCTGCTTCTTGGTTTGGTGGGCAGCTCCTCCTTTCTCTTTTCAGATCTGCATTGAATGCTGGGCCTGCCTTGCCAGTAAGATGGAGAGTCCTATGTCAACAGGGATGGGACACATTTGGAGCAGGGCTTGGTGCTGATGGTGTTATGATTCCTTCCTCAATGCTTTTTCTTTGTCAGAACATCTCTCCCCATCTGCTATTAGTCCTAGCACACAGCTTTGTTGCACATATCTTTTCCTCCTACCAAGGCAGTAGCAGCTCAGTGGATTTGACTTTTAACAGGAAAACAGCGTGAAGAGGGAAGTCAACTCCCCCTGTGCAGAGGTCACAGATCTGACCCAAAATGGGCCCTCATGGCCCAGTTTTTACACATGGACTCCCAATTTGTCGCTTGAGGTATGTTAGGATACATCAACAGTGCAAACCTATGCAGATTTATTTTGAAGCAAGTCTCATTGTAGGCAAACAGGCTTACTCCCAAGTAAGTGTGCAACTGGCACTGTAAGTACATGTGCAACGATGTTGCAATAAAAGCAGTTTCTCTTTCAAGTACCTCCCAAATAACCATTCAGAAATGGATAAGTTGTTGTTTTTTCTCATATTGCCCTCTTAAAGTATTAATTTAACAAGGGACCCATGGAGAAAAAAAGCAATAACTTATTTTTAAAGCTTTTGACAGCAGATCTAACCATTTAGTTTCTCAGCCACTATAAATAACTCACTAAGAGTGCAGAATTGAAAGAATCAGCAAATATATTAGACTGCTGGCTGCAAATATCACCAAAATCCTGGAACCATTTCCTTGCAAAAAAGGGGGTGGAGGGAGTGATGGGTCTACTCTTTATTAAAGTAGTTTTGGGCTTGCGGCCAGAGAGCGAGCGAGAGAGAGATTACACTAAATGCAGCATGCCATATCTCATGCTTGCTCAGGGAAAATAAGCTGCTGTGCATTTTTCTCTCTTACACAGTATCTGGTTTAACGCTTTGGAGAAAGATTCAAGCCAGATATGATTCCCGGCTGCTCCCCACAGCTAGCTTCTAAATGAAAGAAAACAAGATAACTTGGGCTGCGGTCACACGGAACAGAAGCCACACAAGTGAGACGGAAAACAGGCGGAGTTTCCGGGCGCGATCTCACCAGCACATCTGGGAAGCGTAGCACTTCCGTGGCTCAACCGAGGCTTCCAGCCGAAACTGCGTGGCAAAAAACTAGTACCTCGGAGGTACTAGTTTCCAGAAACTGCGGGGCAAGGGGGGGGCATCTGATCGCGTTTCCGGTGGCATCCGGCGCCCGCCCATGTCCCCTTGCAAATAAGGTTGGTTTTTTTTGTCCAAGTCTCTGTGGATGCGCACACGCACCCAACGGAGCATGCGCATTTGTCGTGTACACACACACAAAAAACCAGTTTGCCGCGGCGCGCGCTTCTTGGTTGCGCGCCGGCTTATCCTGTGATCAGCACCTCGGTTCCTTAAAAACAAAACAAAGCAAAAATGAATCCTATTCTGGATAAATAAAACTGAGCAGTGGTTAAGGGAAAATGGTAAAGGACTATATATAGTGGCACTGCTTCAGACGGCCATAGAAAAAAAAGGAGAGAAATGCCAGTATGTAGACGGCAAGGACAAGAAGCTTTTTTTTTTGCTGTCAAGTCACAGATGATTTATGGTGACCCCAAAGATTTTCTAAGGCAAGAGATGTTCAGAGATGGTTCACCATTGCCTGCCTCTGTGTAGCAACCATGGACTTCTTAGCAAAGATGTAAAGGAATATATTCAGGACTGTCACAGGGACAACAGCATCTCTATTAAAAGCAGTGATTTGACACACATTGACTGTGTTTCCTTTATTCATCGTTAAATTTATTCCAGCATAAGATTTCATGAGTCAAGCTCACTTCATCGTGAATACCACACTGGTGTAGTGGTTTGAGAACTGGGACAGCCAGATATGAAGCTCTGCTTTGCTATGGAAAGGGTGCCTTTGTCCCATCACACATTCCTTGAATGTGACTTTTTTTGAGTTTTGGTCTTCTAGGGACCCAATATTACTCTGTAATTGGTCTCTCAGGATCCAAGAATGACTGGTCAGTGTCCTTGCACAACCTGTCCTTGTGGGTTGGTAGAGGCTATCACACTCTGTCTTGAGTGCATGGCTGTTGAATGCCACTCTGTTGAAGAGAGATGGGATACACAAAGTGGCATGTTCCTGCATGCATTTCGGCTGGAACTTGTAGAGAGCTCCCTGCTCCTTTATAAGACAGTTCTGGGTGAATGTACAGCATTGTGCACACTGATGGTGCTAGATTTATTCTTTACCCACGATATTTTTGCCCTGCTTTTTTCTCCAGTTGGGGACTCAAAGTGGCTCTCAACATCATTCTGCCCTCCTCCATTTTATCCTCACAACACCAACCCTGTGAGATATGTTAGGCTGAGCAAGAGTGATTGACCTAAGGCCACCCAGCAAGCTTCCATGGCAGTGTGGGGATTCGAACCTAGGTCTCCCAGACACGCTAACCACTATATCACACTGGCTTTTAATCTGTTGCTACTGAAAATTTAATGATTAGACTCTGCTAGTGTAAGAGACCGGGAATGGAGAAACAGGCAACCAAGTGGGCAAATTGAGATAGGACTGCCAAATCAAGTTTGGGAAATTCCAGGAGATTTTGGAGTGAAAACCCAGGGATGGTGAGGTTTAAGAACCGGAGAGATTTCAGCAAGGTATAATGCTATAGAGTTCACCCTCCAAAGCAGCCATTTTCTCCAGGAGAATGGATCTCTGTCGTCTAGAGATCAGGAGATCTACAGGCCCCACCTGGAGGCTGGCAACCCTAAGTCGAGAGGTAACCACAAACGCACAGAGAA